CCAGCTCGGAGCTTCGTGTGTGGCAGCTCTGCACCGTGGGCAGGGCCAAGGCAGACTGTGAGATCCCCTACCCTGCCCTCCCCAGCTGCTACCGAGGGTCTTGCCCAGCTTGCCCCAGGGCATCACCCTGGGCTGCCGTGGGGCCGGACCCTGCACATCACGCTCCCTCCTCCCGAGCCACTCAGGCTGTGAGGGAGGTGAAGGGCCCAGGGTCTGGACAGCACTTGGGCAGGTTGCAGCTTTGACTCAGGCCCAAGCACGAGCCAGAACTATCTCCTTGAAACCTTCACCAGGAGACTTTCTGCCTTATCTCCACCTTGTAGCGATCCCTGGAAATATTTCTAGGGGCTGGAAATACCTGGCTGCGAGGGCTCCGCCGACTCGGTGTTGAAAGTGGGCAACTCTGGCAGGGCGCTGCCCGGGGCGGACGGCGCGATGCCGGGGCCTAGGTCAGCGCTGTACATGAGGTCTGCAGCGATGCCAGGCAGGTCTGGCAGGTAGGATGGCACATCAATCTCTGGGACTTGACCCAGATCGGGCACGTAGAAGTAATTTTCAGCTACCTAAAGGAAACCCAAACCAAAAAGATAAGGCAGTGACTATGCACTTGCTTCCCCTTGCAGCAAATGAAGGCACTGGAGGGAACAGCCTGGGTGGCAGGCAGAGCTGGGCTGGTGTGCCACCATGATGGTGGTCATGGGCAACTCATCAGCTACCCCCCCACACCCCGGCCAGGCTTGGAAAGCCATATTGCAGGAGGAGGAAGAGGTGCAGAACTCTTCCCAGTTTCTTCCAAATTTCCAGCCTATATGGGGCAGTCCCTTCTCTTCCAGAAGTTGATGGTGCCTGAACCACTTCTGAGATTAAGATGCGTGAGAAGCACAACCAGGCATTTAGAGGTTTGGTTTTGTGCTTAACACACAGACAAAACAGAACCAGAGGTGCACTGTGAATAAAGGGCTTTGTTTGCTGTACACCCTGGTACCTCCTGCAGTACAACAAGATTAACAAATGGCTCCCAGGCTTCCTTCCCTAGCCCCAGATTTCCCTAGCCCCAGACCACACATTCAGCCATGTATCCTCAAAGCTCCAGGTATGGCCACTATGAGGTGTTGGGACAGAGTCAGTCCCATGCTGGGGCAGCAGGACTGGTGCACTGCCTCCCTCATGCCCACACCAAGCACAAGGTCTTAGCTCATGCTGGCTGGTCCTTCCGTTCACACCAGCAGGCATCCCTTCCCAGCATAAACTGGGTCACAGGCCTACTCCCAAGCACCTTCCAGCCATGGCATCTCACCATCACACTCCTAAAAGGCTCAGGAGTTAGCTAAAGGGAGATTATCAAGTGACGGAACCTCCGAAATCCTCTAGAGCCCTGAGGTCTAGCAGCAAGGTGACCTGATATTACATTAGTCTTCCCACAGCACCCAGCAATGGCTTAAGCAAAGAGAAACGCCTGCCAAGTTTGAGGCATTTGTGTCATCCATCAAGCCCAAACCAGGACTTCAAGCTCAAAAATGGGCAAGGTCCTTCTGGTGAGACACCCTACAGGTGCCATGAGGGGCCATTCTCTTGCCTGATCTCCACCCTACAGAAGCCCCATCCTCTCAGAGAGCTGGGCACAATCCCCTGAAGGGAAAGCAGCTGTGTCCATGTTTCACCTGCCGGTCCAGTTGTCCCCTTTTGGTGATGGAGAGAGGAGCATCAAAGAGCTTCTCTTCCGTCTCTGTTTCCAGAGCCACATGGGTCTTGGACACTGCTCCAGCTAGAGGATCCAGGAAAACATACTTCTTGTACCTAAGGGTAGAGGACAAGTATTTCAGCGATGCCATCTTGAGAGCCAAGGCCACAAGAAACAGGCTACCCAAGAAGAAGGTCTGGGAGGTGGAGACCTGACTCCAGGTCAGACTTGCTCACACCGGTGGAACATATTGGGCGCTCCAGTTTTCTTCTTCTAGCCCCCTTTTCATTCCTTTCCACTCTACAATCGGGAGACTATCAGCTCCCCACCCTATGAGTGCAGCCTCCACATTCATCCTAAAGCAAAGCCCCACTGCACTGCCACCGTTGCCAAGCTCACTCCCTCCCACTGCCTGGCCCCAGACTGTCCAACAACCCGCAGCAAGGACACGAGTCTCTCCTCGTGATTTGTCACTCAAGAGGCAGAAGGAAAGATAAAGAGAGGAATTAAGTTGTGGCTCAGGAGAAGAAAGAGGAGATCCAGCAGCTGAAAGCTTAAGAAGGGCTTAAAGAAGCTCTTCAATATGAGCAGAAGGAGGAAGCATGAGGCGAAGCCAACGGGAAAGGGAACTGCAGTGATGGGCAGTGGAGACAGCAAAGCAGCAACATGGGTAAAGTGTTGCCGTGAGGAACCATCAGGAGGAGGAGTAGAATCCAGGCAGGCACATGTGGCAGAGGGCAGGAGTGACAGCAGCTTTCAAGGCTGGAAAGAAATTATTGCAGGGGTATAACAAGAAAAACTGTTGGGGAAGGTAAGTGCAAAGCTGGGTTGAAAGCAGGTGAGTGGAGGATCAGGTGCAGATAAAACAAATCCTTCCACCCAAGAGGAAGAGTGGGAAAGACAGAGTTGCTAGCTGGAAGCTGGTGGAGAGGTACCAAACCCTGTCCTACCAAGAGCTTGGCATGTAAGACCCCCAGGAATGCAAGCAGTTAATGCTGCCCCCAAGGAAGAGAAAGCTCCTCTGGGGACAAGCAGGGACAGGTGAAAAGCACAGCACTGCTCCAGCTCTCACAGGTTCTCAGTGGTGTTGAAGAGCAGCAGTGAGCTCAGGGAGCTGATGTTCCTGGGGAGGCTGCCAAGGCCTTCTTCTGCATCATCCTCCTGGTGAACTTTGGCGCTCACGCACACAGGGAAGTACTTGAGCTTCTCCTGCAAGAAGTCAGATAACAGGTAGTAAGACACTAAAACTGTAGCCGTTGAGACAGATCTCCCCAGTCACCAAAACCCATGCTGCTGGATTCACTGTACAGTCTGGGAACCCTACTGCTCCCTCTCTACCTCCTTTTGAGCAAAGAAGCACGTGGACAACATTGCAACCCCACAGTCATGACGAATCTCAGCAGTCCAGACCCATGGCACATGCTTTTGGTGCCACAGATGTGTCATGTTGAACAGGGGTTGCTGTGGCAAGGATCCACCAAAATACAAAACCCTCTCGGGCTCTACAGCCAGAGGTGGGGATCAAGCAGGGCGGTCTAAAAGGCATTGGTTACACTGTCTCCAACCAGTAGACATTTTCACGCAGACATCTCTATTACCTCCCCTCTGCTGCCTCCAGCTGATGTTCTAAGGGATATGGTCCCACTGGTGGGGTATGCAGGGAAGGCAAAGGAAAAAGAGGTTAGGAAAAAACAGAGTGCCTGTACTAGGCAAGAGATGAGGCAGAAGGGAGTGCGCAGGGCGGAACGCGTGCCAGATGGTCCTGCAAAGCCTGAGGGATTTGCAGGAGTTTTCAACTGTAATGAACTGAAATCTCCTCTCTTGGTTCTAAAACTTCATGCATAATATATAGAGCTCCCTTTAGAAAAGGACTTATTACATCTGAACTGCTTGACTTTTATATAGAACAGGAATTGCCATCCCAGATCAGACCAGTGTTTCAGCTAGCGTGACAGCGCCCGCTGCCAGATGCTGGGGGGGCTGAAGCTCAGTGCCCACAGCACATGTCGCTGGAGAGGGAAGGATGGCATCGGTTCCTGAACATGGACACAGCCTGGGATGGAAGAACCTCCACACCTTTCCTCGGCCCCCTCAGAACTCCTCCTTTCTTCACAAACTAGGACAAGCAGCAGCCTGGCAGATGCAAAGTGGCAAGCATTCATATCAGAAGAAACCAGAGCACTAACCAGGACAGTTCATCAGGTTAAACAACTGGCCACACTCTTGTGGTCTTCTTCTGTCACCAGCTCAAAAGCTCTCCACGGCTTCCTACTGCCTCACTACTTCCAGCAGCCCTGCTCCATCCCATTGCCTCCTTGTACTTGTAGGGGCAGATGGCAAACCACCATTTGTTCAGTTTCATGACCACATCTCAGCCACATAAGAAGTTTCTGCCAACTGAAATTTCAGGCTTGAATGTGGTAGCCAGAAATCCTGGGAAATGGCTTAGTCACAGCTCAGTTAATCCACTAAGTCTATAAAATGTGGTAAAAAAACACCTGGGAGGTTTTGACTGAAATGTTTTATTTTCTCCCTAAATAACACGTTCCAACTTGTGAAAAATACACTGAAATAAACATCTTGAATTTTTACAGCAGCAAGTGGGCAAAAATAGATAAATTGTTATTCAGAAACCTCAGAAGCAGAGATTCAGAAGTAAAGGGTCTTTTGATCATTAATATTCATTTCCCAACGTTTAATTTTTTAAGCATGAGGGAGTATTGATGTTTTTGCTAGAACTGTTCACACACACTTAGCCCCCAAGTCACATATATATATATTTTTAATTCTCTCTCTGTAGATTTCAATTAGCACTGGAAGACTGCATCACTTTAAGGGTGGAGTAAGAAACCAACCATTACCTACATTTCCTTTTAAATCTCATCTAAGGCAGTTATAAAGCATGACTATTACTCTGAAATGTGAGGCTCTACATAATCCTTTTAATTTAAATGAAAACAAAGTACTAGTCTTATTCAAGTACCTAGATCTGTTTTGAAGTTTAGAACAGTTACCCTACTGCCAGGAATATCCTGGAACTGTGAATTCCACAGGTTAAAGTGCCATTTAAAAATTAGTTTTCTTATAGGGACATAAAGGCCAT